TGTATGCTGAGTTTACTTATAATTCTATGGTTTTAGTTTTGGATAGTGGCATGCATGGGCAGCTTACAGTGTCACGCCGACTTATGCACCTATGGATCCTCGCCTGGCTTGTCCGAGTTGTGAGAGTGTAAGGGGCTGGGTGGAGACTTCGGAGGTTCAAGGTCTTCATGTGGTTCCATATCACCCTATCCACAATAGTTTACCTGCTGCATGTTCGTCGAACATGATGGGCGTCCCTAACTTGGCGCACGGCTTTTACTTCAAGAATATACCGCCTAGGGATTTTAGGGCGTTTTGCTGAGCTCTCCGAAACCTACATTTTTCTTTCTCACGGGCCTTGCTACAACATGTGTGTATCAAACAGAGCTTCAAGTGGCCCCCATGGAAGACCAATTTTTGCTCTGCTTTAACGGGTCATATTATATAGGTTCATGGCCATATTATATAGGTTCAGGGCGGATGGCTTTTCGGCTTGGTCAGGGTCGACAGATTTAGGCTTCGCATCGCTAGTGTTTAATCTAGGTTCCCGGGGAATAACCCTGAACCCTAGACCGTGTTGACCAGGTAACCCTCGCATGAAACCCTATAAACCCCAAGCCCCACAAGCCCCAAACCCTGTAAGACCTACAAACCCTATAAACCCCAAGCCCTAAACCAACCGTGGTTTCGGGTGTAGGTTGCAGAGGCTTCCGGGGCTAAGGGCCCGACGTCTTTCAAGCGAGGGTTTGGGGTTTAGGGCTGAGTACCCGAAACCCTAAACGTTAAAGGCTATTTAAGGTTTGGGGTTAAAGTCTCAGTGTCTACGGTGTAGGGTGCAGGGCCTAGGAGTTGATGACGAGTGTTTCAGTGGCCGGGCTTTCAGGCGACTCTCATCTCTTGGGAAGCGCAGTTGCTGCAGGAATTAGGGCTTTAAGGAAGCCTCTTGCCCATAGGCCCCATAGTAGTTCCTTTTTGGGATTACCTTATAGGGTTCTATATATGAACCCCAGAAAGGAACTACTCTGGGGCGTATGGGGTAGAGATTATTCGCCATTGAGCTAAGGGCCGAACCTACTGCCTTGTGGAGCTTCAACCCGAACGGCAACAATCCAAGATGTGGACCCTTATAGGCCTTTCTAGGGAGCCTTAAGGGGACATATAGGGTATATGGCGTATGGTGTTTAGGAATCCCGGGGTTAAGGGCCCATACTAGGGGCCCATGGTTTCAACCTTAGACACAAGCTATTGACCCGATGCGCGGCATGCACCCTATGCGCCCTAAGCTCAATACTATGAACTGAGGGCTACACCCTTCAAGCCCAAAGCACACCTTCTGTGAGCACACGTGAACTAAGCTCTGAACCTTATCCGTATCCGCAAGGGCCACAGAAAGCCCGTGGCCCCGTCAAAAGCTAAAATAGCCCTGTACCTAACAAAGCTGCCACGTGAGGCTCTGCCTATTCGTCCCAGCACCTCGAGATTTCTTGGCGCCCTAAGAGGACCCAGAATCAGAAGGCACAGACAGCCAGACCTGGGAGGTTTCAATAAGTAGATCCCCCAAGAGGGTACCCATGAAAATGCCCTTTAGTACTTAGTATAGGGTCCCAGAGTAGGGGATCGACTGTTTCAGAAATTCTCAGCCTGAACCCTAAAACCCCAGCCGGTTGGAGCTTGCTGGTCAGCGGCTAAGGCCAGTTGTTGAAGCCCAAGTTTCTTGAAATCCTGAGACCCACCAAGAACTTGCTTGTACATAACCGCCTGCACTTTCTTCTTGAGGTGTAAAGCAGCACAGGGATTGCTCCAGGTCCTGGCCAAGGAGAAGCTTGCGCAGAGCAGTTCATGTAATATAGAAAGCCGAAAGATTTACCAATACTATTTTGGGGCTCCTTGTTGTAAGTTTAAAATGAGAGGCTACTTTACAGTGTTTAAGAGCAAGCGCTTTGCATGTCATGTATTCGGATGAGCGCTTTAAGATAATAGCCGGCAAGAGTCTGCTTTTTCAGGTTTGTGTGGAATCTTGGTAGAACTTACTTACAGTACGAGGTGCCTTCAGCCTCTACAGTACCCCTAAATACCCTAAGCACCAAGCCCAAAGCTGCAGAGGCCATGGCGTCTGTGTGGTTGCCCAAGCGCACTGTGGTAATGCGCTGCAAAAGCTGGGCCCAAGCACGACGTCGGTTCCGCCCCGGTTCGATCCCCTAAGTTTTGCTATGCCTCAAGGGTTATGCGGTTCCAGGCTACTCAAATCACCAATGTCCCGTTTCTTAGTGCTCAGGGGGTACAGTTCACTGGTGGTTTCAGGGTCTCCCAAGAACTAGCCCGTTGTAAAAAAAATACACAGTTCGAGTATTGTTTATTCTGAAGACCGAAGACATACAGTAGTACAGTAGTATGATTTCCACAGGGTTGCAAGAGCAGCACAGACAAATACGGTTCTGTGTAGGTCCGGGAGAATTGCCGCTCAGTTTGGGCTGGCCTCATATGGGTAACCGAGTTTACGCACATGATCGGTTGTCGGGTTTCCGGTTCAGCTTTTTCAGCCACGGATCATTATTGGCATCGCTAAACCCTCAACCCTATAAACCACCATTCACCATTCACCTTGATATCTGTTCTGTTCTTCTCGGCCCCAGCCGCGCTCTGAGATTGCTCACTGACTCACATGTGCTCATGCCAGGTGCCTCCCGTCCAGCACAAGAGCCAATGAGAGTTGCGAAGCAGGCGCGCTTCGTAGTGAAGTGGAAGTTGCTTATGAAACTCTGATGGGAGGATCTAACTTCACGTCTCTAACCGGGTCCTTCACGACTTAAGTCTGCCTGCCCTAAAGAATCCGCCAGTTCCGGATGGATTTCCATCAGCCCCAAGTGGCGCACTGGACGCTTTCCGCTTCTGAGAAAAGAACGCCTGCCTTTGCCGGCTCTTGGTAGCCCCAGGCCTGAGTGCAAATGCCTTGCTTCCCGTCACTCTGCAGGCTCTCGGGCTTAAGTGGCACAAACCCTCAACCCTGAATTCCTTACAAAAATTTTCGGCCTGCATTAGTACCAAAGTTGCAGCCTGATGAAGCAGTCTCTGGTTCTGAGTTTGGGGTTCTACGATGCGGTCATTCAGATTAGAATTAGAAGGCTTTTGGGGATGGGCCTGAAGTGTCGTGACACCTTTTTGGGGTGCTTACCACAATGTGACATACAGTGGTCTTCGTTTCTGAGGCGGGCGAAGTTCTGCAGCGTAGGGGTCTCATTGTTGGCGCACTGGTATTGCTGAAGATCCGTATGAGAGGGGCTTTTGCTGTTGGAGAAACCCACAGTGCCGCAATAAACATGTACTTTCGTAAGCTGCAGCAAGTCTCAGATGAGCAGTAAGCCCTTCAGTGACCTTAGAAGATGGGTGACTGTCAAGGTAGGTGGGGTTTTCGAACTAGGATGCACACCTTAACCCAAACCCCGCACCCTAGAGCAAAGCCCTCGACCCCCAGATCCCCGAAGCCCCAGACCCCCAGATCCCAAGTCCTACCCCGGACCCGAAGTCCTAAACCCTAAACCCTAAACCCTAAACCCGAAACCCTAAACCCTAAACCCTAAACCCTCAAACAAAAATCGTCTTGGGCCCCGCACTCCGAGGTTGGACCCTCGTGCTGTTCAAGCTCAGGAGGGCGACAACCAGTTCCCACAGAAGTGCAAGGTCGCCTCTGGTCCGGTCGCTTTGTTGGGGTTGTTTAAGGGCTTTTGGCATTTGAGAGTATAGAAACTTCGTGTATAGGGGGGTTTATAGGGCATAATGAAGGGACGTGTAGAGGTCAGGAAACAAGGTTTCGTTGTTTGTTCTGCGCTTCAGCCCTAATTAAGCCTTAGACCCGAGATCCCAAACCCTGAACCTTAAACCCTAAACCCTGAATCCCAAGTTTCCCTGCATTTCACACCGACTGTCGCACATGGATCCTCGCCTGGCTTGTCCGAGCTGTGAGAGTGTAAACCCTGAACCCTAAACCTTTAACCTGAAACCCTGAACCCTAAAAGATGTGGCGTTGCCCTCTGCATCTTCGGAGTTACCCTGCAATGCGGGCTCGTCCTTGCCCGGCAAAAGTGGAAAAAAACCCTGAAAAGCCGTGACGTCCCTGAACCCTTAATACCCTATACGACTTTGATACCCCGAACCCTGGCCTCCCTGAGCCCCTCTTACTAATAGTAATACTCTCATGCCCTAATAACCCTAAACCCTAAACCCTACAGCCCCCAAAAGCAGTCGTGACGGAGGTCCGTCAGCAGTTAAAGCTCGACGGAGCTTCGGACCGCGGCCCAGACTGGACCAGTGTCTATATTGGGCTTTAGATTCAGGGTTTTGGGTTTCGTCTTTTGGGTTTTAGATTTAGGGTTTTGGCTTTTAGGTTTAGGGTTTAGGGTTTTAGATTTAGGGTTTTGGGTTTTGGGTTTTAGATTTAGGGTTTGGGGTTTCAGATTTAGGGTTTTGGGTTTTAGATCTAGGGTTTTGGGTTTTGGGTTTTAGATTTAGGGTTTTGGGTTCTGTCTTTTGGTTTTACGGCTGGGATTCATTATAGTGCAGATCTGCGGGGGCTGTAACCCAAAGGGTCCTAGGCAGCGTTATGTGGACCCCTTTCCCAAAGCATAATGGTGATTCCTAAAGTTACAAACCCAACATTCTGCTATTCGGGTGCTTGGGACCCCCTGGGCTAAACAAAAGATAGGGTTTTACGGCTAGGGTTCATCATATTATAGATTTGTGGGGGATGTAATGACATAGCACGACTTTTGTAGACGCGTGAATAATCACCAACATTATTCCTCGGTGTCTATACTGGAATATCTCCCTTAGCCGTCTTCGAATTACTTCGATGTAACTCACCTTTTGGCCGGGTTCGCCCAGGGTTGTTGTTGTCGGTCTCAGTGCAGGGATCATTGAACTGATGCTGCTCGTATTTCGTAGACGGCAGCGTTTTGCCGCATGCGTAGCGGAGCTTTCTTGAAGTTAACACAGGTAGGGTTGGCACATGAGATTAGGTTTTCTCTAGTTGGCATGTTGGGTACATCTCCCCGAAGCCGCAAAGCCAAGCCCAAAACGCATACACTGACATACACACCACTCTGAACCAATACTCTCACATCGTGCGGCCCCGTCCCCGTTAACCCCTGCAACCTCTGAGTCAGTCCAGTCCCACAGAACATGGACACGTGCTTCCAACCAGGCGCCCTGTAGTTGCTGTCTGCCTTACACCACATACCCCGGTCGCATTCTACCCTCAGTCCTAAACCCCAACCCCTGATGCAAATCCCAGAAATCCCCATCACCTGAAGTTCGCCGTAGCCCGAAACCCCTAAACCCCTAAACTCTTAACATTGTAGGCTTTAAAGCCTTAACCCTCAGACCTTGCAGCCTCTAGCTGGAACTCTTAAGCACTAAATAGTAGATGCGCCCTGGACTGTACAACCTAAAGCCCAAACCCTGCACTGGCCGTCCGGCCCAAAAGCCACTGCCGTTGGGGGGTTCGGTGGGCCATGGCCTTTGCCCTGGTCAGCCTGGAGCTAAGTCACCACCAGAGAACGCCTTAGGGTGTAGGCTGTAGTAGGCAGAAGGGTTTAGAGTCTATAAGTTTGAAGCTGCGTGTCTATACCCTGAACCCCAGAAAGTTGGAACATGGACTTAGGATGATTCGTGCTAGGACCCCTTATACTCTACCGAAAGGGCATGAAAACTACAATGTTCCAACTTTATGGCGACTACTAGAGGGCTTCCTTGTTGGGAGGGAGTCCGGCTTCGGATCTAGGACTAATAAGGAAGGCAGTTCAGGGACTCCGTGGGGGCCGAAATGGAGGGGCCTCAATAATTAGAATAGGGTTTGGGGGGTATAATATACTAGACCTATAATAAAGAAACCTTAAACAGTATGGGTACTTGTTTAGGCTTTATAGTATAGTGAATATTCGTTACCCGCCATGTCTTCAGGCTCGAGGCCAAGAAACGCGTTGTCAGAATACTTTAGGGCTGATAGGGTTTATAGGGCTTTAGGTTCAGGGTTTAGAGTTTAGGGTGTTTAGGGCATTAGGGTTTACGGCTTTACGGTTTAACAGTCATAGCAGAAGCGCACACACACACACACACACTTCATGCACTGTCGTGGTATCCTGTCGTGAGAATGGCGCCTGTAATAGATGTGGTGCGGAAATGTGTTGAAATGCGGCACTGAGTAGTGGCAACCATTCGAGCACATGAACCGACATTCGGGAATGAGCAAATCGTCATGGCATGCACACGGTCGCACGGAAAGCGCCAACAGTTCACAACTGCCATTACCAAGAATCTCACTGCCACACCGGATGAGTGTCAGAAGCTGCTCCATTAATAGCAGCCATGCTACAAGCCCAAACCCTGAAACCCTAACTCAGAATCCGAAACTCTGAAGATGACTTGAAACCCGAAGCCCCGAAGCCCAAAGCTGCCTAAACCGTGAAATCCGCAAAGGCCCAACCGCGCGATGATGTGCCGT